ATATATATATATATATATATATATATATATATAAAACATTATAAAAATGATTGAATGTTTATTTCCTTTCACAAAACTTTAATATTTTCGTTGAACTTCTAAAAATTTTTAAAGTGATATTTTTTTAAATGAATGATACTTTAAAAATTTTAAAAACAATTATTCTGTTTTTCTTTTTTCTAATTTGAAATAGTAACAAAAGAGGAATATTATATGCGATATTTTTGTCGTATTTTTTCAGGAGATTTATTAAATAAAAAAATTAAAAAAATTTTCATTTTGATTGCTATTGCTGAAATTAATTAAGTTCTTTAAAAATTCATTTGATACTCATTACCTTATATCAACATGTTAAATAAATAAATTCTAAAGTTTTAATTACAAATATCAGCTGGATAAATTTTTTTAAACAAATTTTTAGTTCATAAAATTTTAACAAGTGTTAGGTTCGAAAATTCAAAAAATCGGAAAAAATAGAGACTGGCAATACTTTAAATATTATTTCTCATATTTCTTCACATCTATTGTTTTGTTATTTTTGAGTTCCGTTTAATAATGAGAACAGACTACTGCCACTGGAATTAGACTTATCTAAGAAGTTCAGAGTTTTATTGTAATATTCATAAGACTCTCATAAAATACAGTGCATTGTATACTATAAATAGGATTTAAAGTCCTTCTTACAAATGAGTATTACCCTCTGGCTGTAAAATTACGGTCTTATCTTGCAATTATCGAAGGTCGACTAGAGAAACTATAGACGTGTTATAGAATTCGGAACGTATTCTAAACTTAAAGTTTAGTTGTAAGTGAATTTCAATTGAGCACTCAATTGTTCGAAATTTCTATTACATTTGTACTCTAATCCGATTTTTTACTGCACATTTAAAAATTTCAACTACTTTTTCATACAAAAATTAGAAGTTTTTTTAACAGTGTACTAGATAAACCTCATTTTAACCTCATATTAAATTTATATTTCCTTTAGAAATGTCTCATTTTTGTCTCAATCCGGAATATTACGTACTAAATGAGGTTTTTCCTGACAGGAGTTTTAAATGGTGAGGCTTAAACTGAGACAAACCTCATTTTATAGCATTTTGAGACCTAAAACCGTAGTTATTTTTCGAAGAGATAAATAAAACCCAATTTTTCAAATTTTCAAACTACAATATCTTTTGAATGAATGAACCGATTTTCACACGGTTGGCGACATTCAACGTAGTTTTTAAAGCGTCGTAAAGAATATTCAAATTTCAATTGATAGAATTGAAAATTTCGAAGTAATTCCGAAAAAACACTTTTTCAGTTTTCTTTCAACAACAATAACTCATGAACAAATCAACCGATTTTGACCGGGCTGGCGGCGATCGATGTGATTTTTTTTATGTTAAAAGCTGACTAGTTTTTGGATTCGATCGGTAGAGCCGTTTAAAAGTTAATCCAAAAAAACGACATTAAACAAAATTTTTGTTGTGGTTTTTTTGAGATTTCTCAAAATCTACTGGCTTCATTCAGTCCAAATTTTTATTCAAAATCTAAGTTTGGTCAAGTCCTTCCGAATGGCACCATCTGCGATGAAATCGGTTCAACCGTTCAAAAGTAATACGAAGTTTACATACTTACACCCACACACACACACACACACACACACACGCGCGCGCGCGCGTGCGCGGGGGAAGTCGAAAATTACAGTTATGAGATATGAATTTTCTTCAATAATTTCAATTTCTCAGTATATATATATATATATAAACTTTTGAACCATATGTATTTTCTGACTCAACTCGTCGAGTTAAGTCAGAATATAGCAAAATTTTTCAAAAGTTTCGTCATGAGGACCATTGCAATAGTTAGATTTCTATGAAATCTACTAAAAGCTATTTTTTAGAAAAATTCATAACCTTTTTTAGGTTGGATAAAAAAATTTGAAAAAATTCTCAAAAATGTCTTTCAAAGGGTAGAAAAGAATAGTTGTTTCAGCTAAATCTAAAGGGGTCGGGTTCAAAAGTGGTCGATTTGGCATGGAATACCCCATATAGAAAATTACAAGACGCCACCTGTAAATATTAATTAATATTAAGAGCTCGCATTTTTAGAGGATCTTTAGCCAGAGATTCTCTGACGATTCCTCAATGTTCATTGAAAAAAAAAAAAATATTCGATTTTTTGAGACACTCTAATATGTGTAAATACATCCATTTAGACGGAGCTAAAGAAGTTGTATTTCAGTCGAGAGGTCTAAAGCACATTTGCTTTTTTTGAGCGCTCGAATTATTGGAAGAAATATACAGTTAATTAAAATTTTATTAAGGAATTCATTTGCAATTTTATGTTCTTTAATTTTTTATGTATTACACTTGTAACAGGGTAATATTAACCTTAATCGATAAGTCGCCAGAGATCGATAACTTTTCGACTAGCACTTGTGCGCCTCGATCTTCGGCCCTAGAGAGAGAGTAGGAGGGACCAGTAGAACAAAGCCGTAGCTGTAATTTGGCGGGAAGGAGTTCGTTGACTCACAAGGTATCTGGTTATATCTCGTGGGCGAAAATTTGACTGTGGTTATTACCTAGTCTAATTTCCTCTTCTGGGCAAGGTTTTATTTGTTTTGATTGAGTTTATAAATTAAAGTAATTAGTGATTAAAATTATAAATGCTACAAAATTCTGTGGTCCAATACCCAGAGAACATTGGTTTGACCTTGAGACGGATTTGCGATAAAGTTTTACGTGTCATTTTTTCAATGAATTTTTATAAATTAAATTAATTAATTATTGATATTTTTCGGTTAAGTAAATTTAATTCATTGATCGTTAAATTGGGATTTCATAAGAAAGAGATTGTAAATATTGTTACTACGCAGTACATTTTAACTGCGCGTCTGAAAATTCAAGGTCATGTTTACTAACGTCACTAAATCTATTATATTGAAAATAATCACTTGTTAAAATTGAAAGTTCGGTTAGATAAATTTAATATTTTATTTTAATAAATTTTTTTTAGGTTATGACTGATAGAGAGTGAGATAATTGACAAGATGCTTCTGATAAATGGTACGGTTTTCCCTCTATATCAGAAGTTTTCCGAATTTTGGTAATAAAGTGAGAGAGTTGACGAGTAGCTTTTGGTAAATGGTACGGTTTCCCTCTATATCAGTAGTTTACAATAAAATTAGTCATTGGTAATACGGAATATTGGTAAAGGAATTTTAGAGGTCACGTGGTCCACATACTCATGAATTAAAGTACGGTTTCCCCTCTGTTTTACGGTTATTAATTAAGAAATTATTTATGGAACATTGGCAATTGAATTTATAGTATGCGTGCATGAGTGATTAATGTAAAATAAATAATTGGTACCACGAATTATTAATTTTATTATTTCCAGATAAATTCCTAATTCTCTTTATCCTGTAGATTATCTCTCATGTTCTTTCCGGTTTCCAGGACACCGTTATACCAACCTGGTGGTGCCCTTAAAATTTAACATCTAATAATCTCATGGTATTGGTAATCAACATCTATTTAATAAATAAGGCTGCTATTGAGCGGACTAATAAAAAAATACTCGTTACAGGAGAGCACTATCGCTTGTCTTAGTTCTCGGAGTGGGGAGCTTGGGGGCCTGGCTCCAGTCAGTTGAGCGGGCCATTAGTCAGTCGATCTTCGAGCGTAAAACTTCGAGGATCTCCAAAGAAGCCAAGGAGGCAAATTATTATCAAGACGGAGCTAGTTATATTAACGAAGACGGGGTCGGCTCAGTTAGTTATAGTTTAGTTTAGTTAGTTTTCGGTCTGCGAGCTAACTGGTTAGTATCCGAAAACTGTTCAGTTGTGTATTAATCAGGCTATGGCGAAGACCACTCCGAATTCTATTCTAGGGATTGTTCACGGAAGGCCTACCCACCGAAGAGGACGTTTCTTAGCGGAACCGCACCGTCTTATCATCGTTTAAGTTATTTATTGGGTTTTAATATAGTTGTTAAATTCATTAGTTAAATTGCAATAAAGTCATTCTTGTTTAATAAATACATTCGTCGTGTAGTTCACAAGGTTGAGTTGATCCGAGGGATTCCTTGCGAGCTTCCTCCTATTCATAAATTGTCGAAATAGTTTATCGTCAAGTCGTTTATAATAAAATTAATTATTGTTATATTTTTGCCAATTATTTCTAACAACCGAGCCTCTTCCTCCAACTTAGTATTAATTAATTAGTTTAATTCCATTCTGTGACCAGATAAAGTTTTGGATTACCCACTCCCTGGGAGTGTGAGCTGGCAACGAGAAACTCGGTTCCAGGAGGCTGAGTATACTCAACATCATTAAATTCTCCTGGTGGCGTCCAGACCATCTCTGGCGCGAATAGTACACTTTGGTTAGGGGGTCACATAACCTGCCTAGGTGTTACTGCTTTAACACTTTATGTGATTCTAATAAATTCTGTTTTTTTCGGAAAAACTATTAAAAATATAGTTATACAGCGAATTCGAGCTCTCCAAGCTCTATGACAGAACTGTTCGATGCTTTCGAGCTTTCAAGTTTAAAAGTATAGTTCGTATTAAGTATACTTGAGGAGAATTGAGAAATAAATATGATAAATCTTAATTAAAAATCATTGAGGAGGATTACCATTATAAACCGTTTTGAATTATTTTTCTTATCCAGGTAATTTTTCTTAAAAAAAAATTTTTTAAAGGATTAAAATATTCAGAAGTATTGAAAAGAATTATTATTATTATTATTATTCTTTCGTAATAGAATAAGCGTGTGAGGCGCTCTCTATTGGATCTTATTAATTTCTACTTCATTACTATGATGAAATGAACGAACTTCAAAAGTTAATAAAGAAAATTCAATTTTTTAATTAATGATATCAATGTGTCCAATAGACTTGTATGCATTATTTTTTAATACATTATTTCATATCAACGGGATATGCTTACGTGTGAACGTTAACCCCTCAACTTGCTTAAGTCATAAAATGTTATTCTGTTAAATCTCTATATTCATCTAGAATCTTATTAGAATTACCAAGCTCTTCATCTTTATCATCAAAATTTATGATTGGATCTGAACGTTCGTGTTTAGGATTTTCGTAATTACTCTTTTGATCTCCGTCATAATCGAAATTTGAAATATTATCAACGTTGTTATTCTCGTAGTCATAACTTAGATATTTTGTATCTTCTGACAAACTATTTTTGTCATCATCAATTAATTGTAGTGATTCTTGTTCGTTATACATTTTAGTATTTGCATGAATTGTAAGATCAATTGATGATAAGGAAGAATTGGATAGTGTTTCATTTTGCTCCGAATGCTTGAAAATGTCATTATCCGGTTTTGAGTTGTCAATGTGAACAGAAGATGAACTAACTGGCATTGGCGATGCATTGGATTCACTGCATGCAACCAATGACTGTAACTCTACCGATGGTAGAACATCTGTTACGCCATTTTTTGTATCATTGACTTCTGTTGACAAGAATGATGAAGTCAGTGGAAGTGTATTAGTCGGAGATGAATGCTGTTGAGCAATTGTTCCATTTATAATATTTTTCGATAAAGATTGTGAAATTGTTGTTGAAGTAGAATAACTAACGGGCACGGAAGTTGAAGCTGATACTAGATTAGAAGAGTCTAATGTTGTTGAAAACTGATTCTGTAACGGAGGTTCTGTTCGAAATGAAATATTGTTCACTGAATTAGTTTGATTATTTTGTAACAATGAGCTTAAGGTTGCTGATGCATTGACTCCAATCAAATTGAAAATTATATTTTTTGCCACGAGGAAAACTATACTATGATTATGGAGATGAGAAGTCTCGTTAACAGTGGTGGCATCATTTATTAGAAGCATCAATTCGTCATCTGTAACGTTAGTATTTATATTTTCAGGATTTAAATATTCAAATCCGGGTACTCTGTAGCGGATTGCTATGAAAAATTGTTTTGTAGCTACCTTTACGAATTCAATAATCATTTTTTTTGACTTTATCGAAGTGGAAACTGCATATAGTTGTTCTAGACTTCTAATATTATAATTTGGTGATTGTTCTATAAAACTTTGTGCAATATGATCACTACGAAGAAATGATCTTAATGCAGCTTGTTGATATATAATACGGGAAGTTTCGTTAATCTTCATTGTTAGTTTTACAATTTCACGGAATAAATCACTGTAGCTACTTAAACTTAAAAATAACTTTCATACTTTGTAGCATAGAAAGTAACACTACCAGTAGAGGCGTAGATATTCATTGTAATATTCACTTTGTTAGCTAGCAATAAAATGTTAAATAATAAACACGTAAAAGTTTACTGTTAGTCGAAAATACTAAGAAGACCATATATGCTATGACTTCCAATTAATAAAGTACGCGTAAGCACTATAGTAAGTGGATCAAATTTTAGATGAGGAAATACCTATTCAATCAATTAAAATTCACCGGATCTTTATAACAAAAGTTATAAAGATTCTTATTCACATACTCAATATTATCTTTTTAGTTGATCATTTGACGTCTGATCTTTTTGAAAGAAAAATGAGCTTGATGGCTTCTAAGGCCAAATTTTCTAGCTGTGAGTGGACCGAAAGATAGTCCAAGAATCACTGGTTCTTAATTGAACAATCGGTAGTTTTCTTTAATAGCCATATACCTTCAAAAAAAAATTAGGGTGACGGTTGACCGTAAAGGCCATCCCTGTAACTTCCCACTCATTTTGTACTTAAGCGCTCAAAACTACACATTACGTTTATGAGCTCTCCGAGCTGAAAAATATTATTTTTGTGTCAATTTGAGCTCAAAACTCTAATAGCAGTTTAATAAAACACAATTTTTTGAATTTTCGAACGGCTATAATTTTTGAATGAATGATCCGATTTTTACGCGGTTGGTGGCAATCGACAACGATATCTCACGAACGCATCAACTGATTCTGACGTTTTTTGTGGCGATCGATGGGGGGTTTCGAGGTCAAGAGCTGATTAGTTTTTGAGACCGATCGATTCAGCCAATTTGGAGATATTTGAAAAAAATACGTAAAGCGATTTTAATATGTAACTTGTGATGTTGTTGAGCTCTTTGAGCTCAAAAATACCATTTTTATATTATTTTAAGCTCTATAAGTGCGAAGATGAATTTTTTTATGCTTTTAAGCTCTTTGAGCTCAAAAATTGGAAAAACATTTTTTTGAAATTTTTTTTTTTTAATCTTTCGTTTTCGATATCTTACGAATGAATTAACCGATTTTACCCAGTCCAACAGCGATCGACTTATCTTTTCAAGTTTAAGAGCTGATTAGTGTGGGGTTTATTAGTCCAGTAAAAAGTTAAATGAAACCATGATCTGACCAGTTTTGGCGCAATGAGTAAAAATGTGTTCATTAATACTTAAATAATGATATTATGAAAGAAATTTTGATTAAAATTAAGGGGAAAGGGATGAAAAAAATAAAAAAAGGGTTTAAAAATGCCTTTTTTTTAAATAACTTAATAACGGTAGGAAATAGAAAAAAAAGTTTCAAGTAAAAGTTGTAGAGAAATAAATTCTACACAAAAAAGTTCCCCTTCATTTTTTTGCTATCTGCTTTAGTTTAGCTGCAAAAAATAAAAATTAAATTTGCTTTGTAATTAATTATAAAAACTTACTAGAATTATTACGGCCCTGTACCACGCGTTTCATCTTCAAGCACTAACACAGTTACATGTACTGTGTTGTGACGGACTGCGCATGTTCGGAAAGAATCTCCCGATTGTCTGTACATAATATTGAAAGCACATGTTTGTAAACCTCGAAACACGTTTATTTTTAATTTTTTTGAGTAAAATATAAAAATATCAAAGTGACGTTTAACAAATTTTAAGTAAGTAATAATTGTACAGTTTATTTATTTAAGTTTAGAGTGTATATTAAATTAAAATATTGGAGAAAAAAATTTAATTCTGTTGTATTCAACTTCTAACCTATATTTAGTAAATTTAAAGATAATCAAAACGGAGTAATAAAAAAGTTACAATTTATAATTAGTTAATTATTGGTTATTAATTGGAGTGAAATCATTTTGATTTAAATAGTTGACATAAAAATTTAATCATAAATATCATAAGTATACGTCTTTCAATTAATAATTATGTTGAATATCAAGTCACAAAAGTAAACAATTAATTCAGTTTCATTTTATTACAACATTTAGCAAAAATGGATATTTTTCTCTAGATAAAATTCTTTATTTATATTATAAAAATCTTTTCTTAAAATTAATCTCACTTTTTTAAAAATTTTGATGACTTTAAAGCTGTAACACAGAATTTTTTTTGCTTTCAAATAAATAATGCATGTTCAATTTTTTTTAAGTACTTAGATTAAGTAAATATAATTTTATTTTAATAAGCATAAACTTTTTTTTCAGTTTATTAAAAATGGATAATACGACGGTGTCATGTACAATTTGTGGACAACTTCTGCGCAATAAAACTCCAATACGAACTGTTCAGGCCAAAGGATTGGCAAATTTAATTAATAACAGTAAAATTAGACTTGATGATAAATGGGAATTGTGGGATGGAAAAATTTCATACGATTTCCATGAAAATTGTGTTAAATCATATTCTCGTTTGAGATCGTCTGACTTACCTCGAAAAAAACCGAAACTGGAGAAACCTCGTGAACTCAACTTACCACCATCATCATCATAAACGATACAAGTACCAGGAACGATACCAGTACCAGTATCTTCTTCAGGCGTAAACTCGACGACATTATCAAGTTTAAATTTCGATTACAAAAATCTTTGTATATTTTGTGGCAAAAATTGGGATAAAGCTCATAAAATAGGACATGTTATTAAAAATAGCTATTTTTCTGATAGAATTCTTGAAATTGCTGATCGGGACTATGATGATACGGCGTTTTTATTGAAAGAAAGATTACGTGCTACTGATTAAGTTGCAGTTGAAGCCAGATATCACAAAAAATGCTATGATTCTTTTATGAATCCTCCACTTAAAGAACCAAGAACATCATCAAATATTCACGAAGATACTGCATTCCAAGAAGTTTGTGACCATATTGAAAAAAGTAATAATTTTAGATTTAAATTATTCGATTTGCGCAAAATCATGGGTGATAATTAAATAAATCCGGATAAGTTATTTAAAAAACTACAGCAAAAGTACGGTTCTGAAATAATGGTTACCCGGAGTCAGGGAAGAGAACCTGTTGTTTACTATAAATCTTTTAATATTGCTGGTGTGTGTAGTGATTGGTTTTGTGCTAATGATAACTTTGATGAACTACAAGAGAGAACAATTTTGACTGTCGCATCAGAAATCCTTAAAGCTGAAATAAAGGATTTTCGATATGAGAAAGATCGTTACCCTGCAAGCAGCAGCTTTCTTAATGGTGTCATTCAGGATATCCCTCCACTCCTAACATATTTTCTTGGTGATTTACTATCTACTGACAATGACAAAGAAAATTGCATTAAACGTGATAATATTGCTCATTCAATTGTGTCAATACTCCGACCAAACAGTTTTATTTCTACTTTACAATTAGCTCTTGGCACTTATATTTACAGAAAAACTGGTTCACGACTAGTAATTGAAGTTTTATCGAAATTAGGAATCAGTGCTTCTTATCACAGTATTCAATTGCATGAAGCTTCAACGATAAAAGATCCTCCAGAGTTTCGAATCACCGAAGAAACTTTTGTACAATTCGTGTATGATAATACAGACCATAATACAAGCACATTAGACGGGAAAAGAACTTTTCATTGTCTAGGAGGCATTGCGTGTTATACTCCTGAGTCTAGAATTTCATATGAAGGTGGTTCCAAGAAATTGAAAAAAATGCCCACTGCGTCGGAATTAGCATCAGAGAAAACGATACCAATAATACCTTATGGAGCTTTTAATTCCACAGCGTTAGACAAGGTAGTTTTTGTTAATGTCAATAAATTACAACTTGGTTCTCGACCACAACTATCACAATCGTATGCTACTTATTTATGGGCAAAAAATTTAAGATTCCTAATTTACCATCATGGAGAGGCTTTATGGAAGTTGTATGTTGTGATTCAGAATATTTCGTTTCCAGCATCTTGTGTCCGCCATACATTAATGAGCCTTCTTCAAAGTTAACTACTCTTAACACCGCTTTACACTATTCCCGTGAAGAATGTAATCGAAGGAATCAAAAAACTTGTTTTGTAACATTTGATCAACCACTCTACTGGAAATCGCGAAGTATTGTTTTGTAAACTCAACTACATTGCCAAATGTCGTTGTACGGTTAGGTGGCTTTCATATGATTCTGTCGTATTTGCGGTCGATTGGGTACATCATGGACGGAAGTGGTCTAGAAGATTTGTGGGGCGTAGTTTATGCTGGTGAATCTGTGAAAAAAATGATGTCTGGTCATACTTATTCAAGAGCTATACGTGCGCACATTCTAACATTTACTGCTCTGGGTATTACGATTTGTAATACTATAAATTTGGACAAAGGCTTTGAACAATTTCTTATAAATTTTTTTAAAGACTGGGATACTAATCCTCCGTTCATGAGTCATCACAATTCTGATCGCACTATTAATGATATGATGAATAAATTTATTGAAAAGTTGAATGTACTGGAAACAATTGGGCCTACTGCTAAACTATGGATTCAATATATGAAGTCTGTAATCATTGCACTGCAATTTATTGAAGCTGAGAGATTGGGTGACTGGAAATTGCATTTACAAGCTGTTCGCAATATGTTGCCATATTTTCATGCATCAGGTCACTTTGCGTATGCTAAAAGTGCACAAGTTTATTTACAAGACATGGTTCAGTTAGAGTCACAAATGGATGATGAAGAATATTATAAGTTTACATCGGAAGGTTTTTTCACAATTCGTAGGACTGATAAGGCCTGGTTTGGTATATGGAGTGATATGACCATCGAACAGACTCTGAACCGTTTTTTCGGAACTGATTTGAAACATGGTCGAGGTGTTACACCAAGTGTTGTAACTAGATATTTACTTGCAATGCCAACAGCATTCAATATAATGAATTGTTTAGAAGAGTATTGTAATTTATCGTCCTACACAAGTGAACAACATATTGACTTATGCAAAAGTCGTATGAATCAAGATA